ATACGGAACGTGTTTTTGATATTTTATGGTTTTAGTTAAATTTACGACGCTACTTTCTTTATGATTTTCTAATTGACATTCAAAATCTGCATAAACAACAAAAGGAGTATTTTGTTGGTATGTAAAGTTTTTAAATTCAACGCAGCTCTCTTTAGGAAGGTTAATTTTATATTTATAAATTTAGAACACAGTTTTTCATGTTCAACTAATTTATTTTGCTGATGGAAATAGTTCAGACATCTATCGCAAATAAAATTTTTTCTCACGATGTTTATTTAACTGGCTACTAATAAGACGCGAAAGATTTTTAATCCAACAATAGGATATTTAATTTCATCGATTGAATCATTATCTTCATTGCTGGCGCTGGTGGAGGAGCATCATAATCATTTAAACGCGGATAATATTTATTTTGAGCTAAAAGTAAATTAACATGCGTATCCCGTTTATTTTCCGTTAATCTTGCTGGTACTACTATGTAAAATGATTTTTTTTCTGTTTCGATCAATTCTAAAGCGTAAACATATGACTGAAATGTTATTCATCTTTTCAATTTTGAAATTTTTTGTTAGCAGCATAGGACTATCTAAATTTTCTGTTTGTAAAACGTCAGTAAAGTGTGGATATGAGGAGGTTAGTTCTGCATGTCTTTTATTGCTAGGAGTCCGAAGAGCGCTTACAATGGCCCAGTAAAAGCAATTTTGATCTATATTTTTAATGTTTATACAAGCATTTTTCCTTATAATCGGTTCTGGTAGTCTAATATAAGATGAACCGTTTCCCAATTGATATTTACTGATATTAACAACTAAGGAAATAATTTTATTTAACGCAAATCCCGAATCTTTTTCAGCAAATTCCGATAATTCGTTTAAAAGTTTATCTTTAACATATATCTTAAACCACTCGTCTATTGAGTTGATGTATCAATAATATGATTTTTAGTATTAATATATTTAATTCCCAAAATTTCATTATCCCCCGATTTCCTAATAAACTCCCCGCAAAATGTTGTATTTACTTTGAGCGCACAATGGGTGTTCAAAATATTCCTAATTTTCCTTTTAAAAACAACTACACAATCTGCTAAAAATTGATTCAAGTCCTTATGACGCAAATTAGCTATGGAACCGGTTTTTATTCTACTTTGAAAGCTCGATTCTACATTTTCCCATCTAACCCTCTGACCCAATGTTAAGTGAAGTCCTGCCCCAATATGTCTAGTTAAAATCAACTTTCTAAAATGTTTAAAATGCCCCAAATTTGTTTCTACTTTTCTACAGGTCCCTACAGATAATTTATTTTGCCTTCTACTACGAATTACCCGTTTACATAATCTAATTTGTTTTTCTATTCGTTTCAGCCACACTTCCGCGTCTCTGATTGTAAAATTATCAAATAAAATTTTCCGTAGACTAACAATTGATAGTAGAACACCGTCTGTTTGTTTGATGATCTTTTTAACCTTATTTGAAGACATTTGAAAAGACGACATTTTTTTTTTCAAGCAAACACATTACTCAAAAATATATAAAAATGCTCACCCTGTCCTCCTCCTGTTCTCTGCTTTGTTAATTTTCCACTATTTGAATGATGCTAGCGGTCGGCTTTTCCCTACGTCCACTTCCCCTTGGAAGATGATCGAGTATTTTCCGTGAAAAAGTTCGTCGATGACCGGCTGGTACGTTTCCGTCACCCGCTGTGGTAGAAATAGCACTTCCGGTCCTAAATCTAGTAGCACGGCTTCCCCAAATTTCGACTTGACCACTTTAGCTGCTTGGATTGCAAATGGTGTCCCAACTGGTAGGTCCTTTAATTTTCTGATAGGTTTGCGGTCTACAATCGAAGACGCAGCATTAATTTTTGATAAATCCATTTATAAAAAAAATTGAGTCGTCTAACTATTTTGAAGCATAACACGAAAAAAAAAACAGTTGCATTTAGAGACATAAAAAAGAAAAATATTAAATAAAATAGCACTTACTTTTTTTAAAATTTTCGCTCTCTCGTCTCTCTCGAAGCACTAATTGTACTGCGGTCGTTGTTGCAGCTTGCAGCGTTGTGCGTTAAGTGTGAAACAATGATGACTATTGCATGCGCTCGCTCAATATAAGTACGTAGTAGAGATGACACACGCGTGCATGAGATAATTGTATCGTAAATATGCATATTATATGCATCATATTCTCAGTACCATTTTTATCGAGAAAACTGCATGCGCTCGCTCAATATAAGTACGTAGTTGAGATGACACACGCGTACATGAGATAATTGTATCGTAAATATGCATATTATATTCATCATATTCTCAGTACCATTTTTATCGAGAAAACAACATTCATTGCGGTTGCAGTATTTTTTATATAATTTCTTAGTAATACATGAATGTATCGTTTGTCCGGCGGAAATTCCAATTACAAGTTGCACATGAGAGTAGAATTTTAGAAATATAGAAATTCGTGTATGATTATTGTATATTTGCTGCCTAATTTTTTTTCAGTCAAGATTTTGATTGGGGGGGGTAAACGAATTTATATTTGCTATCTGAGATTTTTGACATCATTCTCTATCAAGATGTTGATGTGGGTAGACGTATTATTTTTTATTTCAACTTTCACATACGTGCTTTGCAACGATTTCTCCGAAAAAGACGCTATAGTATACCTAACTCAATATGAACATATCATCGATAATACAACAGATCTCTCTACTTTGCTAACTAACTTGCAAGAAAAGTATAATTTACCAGTGGATGGATTGTTGAATAATGCAACAATTGAATTTATGAATCGTCCGCGTTGTCAATACAGTGATGCTGAATTTAGAGCAAGTTTTCCATTTCGGAAACATGACCTGAAATGGTATTTCCCTCGAAACACACCTGCGGCCCAAAAAGATGCAGAAATGGCTTTTCAGATGTGGCAAAATGTTTCAAACTTAACATTTACAATGGTTACCAATCCCACTCTATATCCTCCTGATATTACTATAACCATGGTTAGCAAGACTCATTATTTTAGCGCAAACTGTATGGGTAATGATGAATGTCCATTGACATTAGATGATGCTGGCGGCGTTTTAGGACATGCATACTTTCCTGACTCTAGCGGCACCTGTAGAGAAATCCATTTAGATATAAATGAACGCTGGTATTTTGGAAATAATCCTAATATACCCAAAAATCAAACTAGTTTTCTTATGGTGTTGGTTCATGAAATTGGACATGCCCTCGGCATAGCACATAGTGCTTCTCCGAATGCTATTATGTTTGCCTTCTATCAGCATGAGATTCGTGGTCTAGATGTTGATGATATAAATGCAGTACAATATCTATATGGAAGAAAAAACAAATATGATTCAATCCCAAAGTCTACCACCGCATCAGCAATACCAAAAACAACAACAACTATAAGATCTACAACTCGTAAGCAGCCGATCCTCAAAAATTTGTGTGATATTATTCCAGATTTTATGTTTTTAGCCATTGCTCCAGAGTTTTCAAATTACCGATTATATATTGCACATGATATGTTTATATGGAAACTAGACTTAAACGAAATGATTATCCCATCTCAGCCTGAACTTCTTGTCGATTATGTTCCTACAGAATTACGTCAATACACTTTACAACATATTTTCCAATCAACAAACGGTGACTTGATTACCATTGTGTCTCCAAACAACTATTTCTCAGCATCATTCCCTACCATTAAATTTCTTGATAATTTTTCAATTGATATACCCGATAGGGCTCGAATCAATGCTATTTTTCAATCAAACGCAGGACGGTCCTATACCTTTTATAATAATATGTCATATATAGAATTTTCTAACGATTTTACTGATGTGTTGAACAGAGGACGGATAAGAGACATATTTCCTGAATTACCTGAAGATATTTCTCTCGCATTTCGATGGATTGATGGCCATATTTACTTTTTCCGTCACGCAACTTACTATAAATTTAATGAATTTACAAGAAAAGTTGTTGCGACCGGACCATTTCATTGGACTCTATTTGGAGTACCATGCCCCAGCCAGGATTTGTTACATCAACTAAAAACTCTGTTATCTAAACTTGTATCTGTATATCATTAAAAAATACATTTTTCAGAAATCTATGTTTATTTCGTATTCAGCCTGTTGTCAAACAAAAAAAAAACAATCGGTTCCTTCGACTCCCCACCCCCCCACCATCATTCTACTACATAAAGTTTCATTTTGAACGGTATCATCCTGTATAATAATAACAGTACATCGTATACAGGTTATGAGACATTCTGACCGACCGACCGACCGACCAGAGGAGCCCACCACGCTATTTAGGTCACGCCTTGCTATATACGATTTAACGATATACCGTCGGTCCATCGATCCGCTATTTTTCGATGCACCCCTGTATACACGTTCTGAATGCCCCCCGTAATCCACGCCAACACCAGACAGGTGCGACATCGGCGCCATCTATGCGCGAGATGCCCAACCCATCAATGGCAGCTGTCCAATGACACATAGATTCCGTTTGGTTTGTACAGCGCCAAACAAATCGGCGCCATCTATGCGCGAGATGCCCAACCCATCAATGACAGGTGTCCAATGACACATAGATTCCGTTAGGTTTGTACACCGCCAAACAAATCGGCGCCATCTATGCGCGAGATGCCCAACCCATCAATGACAGGTGTCCAATGACGTATGACAGATGACGTTTTAACGCCATCTATGCGTGAGATGCCCAATGACGCATGACAGGTGTCCAATGACACACAGATTCCGTTTGGTTTGACAGCGCCATCTAGCGGCGGAATCCCCAACTCATGATTACAGATTCCGTCCAACAACCTGTCAATGGCGCGCGACGCCAGCGCCTCTGGTGGCGGATTTTGGAAGTTTTGAGACCGAATCCCCATAAGACATCTACTACCAAACCCTAAAATTTGTAATTTTTGTAATCGTCCCGGTCACTTAGCAAATGAATGCCAACGGAGACAACAGCCTACAAGCTTTGCCCCAAGACAGTTTAACCAGCCCCAACCTCAAAATTACTCTAGGCCGAATCAACCTATGCAAGTTAGACCATCTACATCTAACTACCATCAAAATTCTAATCAATATCCTCCCAGACCATCTGTAATACGACCAAATGCGCCTAACGCGAGTGCGCCAAGACCCTCTGTAATTCAGAGCAATCCAAATTTCCAAAACCCTAATTTTCAAAGAAATTTTAGACAAAATCCTCCCAATCGAATTAATTATGTCGCCCCTGATTCTTACGATTATTCCGACTACGGTGAACCAGACCTATACAACACGGACTACGCTAATGAATATGACGATACCCAGTACTCCGCCTACACACCTTCCCCATACGATGATTTTAGAGAATCCAGTAACGATTATTGTTACGAATATAATCAAACCTCCGATACATTTGTTGACAACGCTTATTCGGACATACAACAATTCCAGGATTTTCGGACCAAGTGTTTGAAAGAGAAACCCCCTGCGGAACCCAACGACAGTACCGCGATAGTATGTGCGAACTTAGCGAATCTCAGTGTCGAGGACCCGAACGCGAAACCGTGTGCGAGCGTCAGCAACACATGCGATCAGATGTTCATATAAACCCTCCGTTTATAGTCCCGTCGACAATTCACCCCGTTAGCCCAGATAACTTATATTACATTAAAGATGCTACTGGAAAATTCAAAATTCTCATTGACAGTGGTGCAGGTTGCTCCATTTTCAAACGTAACACTTGTCAAAATTATACTAATCGTGTCGCAGAAAATATCTCTATCCGAGGTATTACTGACGAAAAAATTAGTATTACTGAAGCAGTCTTAGTCCCATTTGCTCCCAATGATTATCACAAAATGTATGTCCATGATCTAGATATTTCATTCGACGGCCTTCTTGGGTCAGATTTTCTTGAACATTATGATTGTATTATTGATTTGAAAAATCGTCAATTGATTACAAATTTCAAAACAGTCCCTCTTTTCAAAGCAGGTGACGAAAATAATTCCAAAGCTTCTCAATTTAATGAAAATTCTCAAGTTCAAAATGTTATTTCCATTCCTCCCAGAGTTGAACAAGTTGTCAAGCTCAAATCCGAGCTTAGAAATACTGAAGCCATTCTTCTGGCGTGTGAGGTAGAAAAAGTCCGTCTACCCAGTTCCATAGTTAAAATTGATTCTAAAGGCGAGTTCCTTACTACAGTATTAAACTGTAATGCCATTCCAAAAAATGTAATTTTACCCCAATTAACTTTCGAGCCCTTTAACGAAACTTCTATCAATAATTTCAACACTTCTCTACAAAATCAAATTCAGTATAACCGTAGAGATGTTATTAGAGATCAATTACGTCTCGATCATCTCAACGAAGAGGAAACAGATTTAATTACGAATCTTTGCTTAGATTTTTCGGACATATTCTACTTAGATGGTGATAGCTTGTCATTTACAAACGAAATTAAGCATTCCATTGATACCACTACCAGTAAACCAATTTTTACCAAATCCTACCGATACCCTTATGTCCACAAGCAAGAAGTCAAAGATCAAATTTCGAAATTACTAAAACAAGGTATTATCGAACCTAGCACATCGCCATGGAATTCTGCGGTGTGGGTTGTACCAAAGAAAATGGACGCCTCTGGTAAACAGAAATGGCGTATGGTGATTGACTATCGTAAGCTTAACGAAATCACCATCGATGATAAATATCCCCTGCCAAACATTTCCGATCTACTTGATCAATTAGGGAAATGCCAGTACTTTAGTACACTGGACTTGGCATCTGGATTTCATCAAATCGAGATAAATCCAGTTGATGTTCCTAAAACTGCATTTTCAGTTGAAAACGGACATTACCAATTCTTGAGGATGCCTTTTGGACTCAAGAACGCTCCTGCCACGTTTCAACGTGTCATGGACAACATCTTGATGGGTATACAAAACGAAAGATGTCTTGTATACATGGATGACATAATTGTCTATTCCCCCTCCATCCAAGAACACATCAGTAGGCTTACCGAAATTTTTACGCGTCTTCGGAAGTCGAATTTCAAAATCCAGCCTGATAAGTGCGAATTCCTCAGAAAGGAAGTAGCCTATCTTGGTCATGTAATAACCCCTGATGGCGTTAAGCCCAATCCAGATAAAGTGGATTGCATAAAAAATTTCCCTCAACCCAAGAATCCTAAAGAAATAAAATCTTTCTTAGGTCTTGCAGGTTACTACCGACGCTTTATACCAAACTTTGCCAAAATTGCGAAACCCCTTACCAGACTATTACAGACAGACGCAGTATTTGACTTTGATAGCGAGTGTGTTAAGTCATTTGATACTTTAAAAAATGCTTTAACAACATCTCCTATACTGATCTACCCCAACTTTGAAGAGCCTTTTGTGCTTACAACAGACGCAAGCGCTTTTGCGATATCTGGCGTTCTTTCCCAAGGTCCCATAGGTAAAGATCTCCCGATAGCCTATGCATCTCGTACACTTTGTAAAGCAGAAAACGAGATATTCCACCATTGAAAGAGAACTTCTAGCTATTGTCTGGAGTGTAAAACATTTTAGACCTTATTTGTATGGTCGAAAGTTTAAACTCGTAACAGACCATAGACCCCTTACGTGGCTTTTCTCTTGCCGAGACACCGGAAGTAGATTAGCAAGATGGCGCCTCAAACTAGAGGAGTACGACTACGAAATAGTGTACAAGCCAGGCAAGGCTAATAAAAATGCCGATGCCCTATCACGTATCAAATTACCCAAAACTGTTAACGCCCTTACCCATAGTGACGAAGAAGGAGAACCTTCTACCCAATTTTCCGAAAGTGAATTTGATATCTTTGCCCGCCTTTACAAAACCACATCCCTGATCGATTATTCCAAAATCCAATTTTCAAATTCCCAACTCCTAGACAAAAGTCATAAACATATCGTCACGTTTTTCAGACAAAACACTCTATCTGATCTTCACGAAAAAATTATCGAAGACATATTCGAGGAAAATCTTGATTTTTCTGCAGATAAAATTAACATCGCGTCTAGCAAAACAACTAAAGATAGAAAATACTATATTATTCCTGTGCCATACGATCCCGTAACTTGCATACAGCATCTTTTCTCTGTAATTTTAACCAACAAAGGTGTATTCGACCTATCCCAACAAATCTACGTTGAAAATAATTTGGACTTACCCATTTTAGAAATTTTCTCTTTTATTTTTTCGGATGATAATATCAAACTTGTCGTTTGCCAAAACGTCACCAAAACTCCTAGTCCCGATGAAATCCCCGTCATTTTAGATCAATACCATTGTGGTAAGAAAAACAGTCATCGAGGAATTAATGAAACAATTAGGCGAATTCGTGAACGATATAATTGGCCCGGCTTAACTAAAGACGTAGAGCATTTCATCAAAAAGTGTGAAATTTGTCAAAAGACCAAAATTTGTCGTAAAAACCTCAGTGCCCCTTTTGTAGTAACTGAAACCCCTAAAGCCCCGTTCGAAAGAATCAACATTGACATTTTGGAAGTCCCACCTAAATGCTACGCGCTCACAATCCGAGACGAGCTAACAAAATTTTCTCAAGCCTATCCAATTAGCGACAAATCTGCAAAATCTGTAGTAAATACTCTACTTTTCTATTTCCAACATTATGGTACACCTCTCCGAATACACTGTGATTACGGAAAAGAATTTGACAACGCCCTCATGAAAGACCTTTGTAGTCTTTATGACATTAAATTAACTTTTTCTAGTGTCAGTCATCCCCAGTCCAATGGCTCGATTGAGCGATTTCACGCCACTTTATTGGAAATGATCAGATCCCATGTATCCGAAAATCCCGACGAACATCCCTTCAATATTCTTCCCTACGCTGTTCAGTGCTACAATAGTACTAGAAATAAAACTACTGGCTTTACACCATACGAGCTCGTGTTTGGCCACACCTCTGGTCGTCCGCCCGAACACGTATATTTAGAAAAAGAATTGATGTCCAAGTATGTTCGAGACATTCGGAATAAACTCGAATATTACTACAAAATTGCCCGCGTGAGAACTGACGAACAGAAGCAAAAAGCAAAAATTCGCTTTGATAGTAGAGTGTCACCCAATTTACAATCATATAAAATTGGCGATAAAGTCTTTGTGAAACAGTCTCAAATTTCAAACAAACTTCAGAACAAATTTGATGGTCCATTCGAAATTACTCAAGTTTTTGAAAATTCTGCGCTCCTTAAGAACCCGGAAACAAATAGAATAAGTAAAGTTAATTTTGACAGACTGAAACCATGTTTTGAGACTTAGTTTCTCTTTCAGGTGCAGTCTGCTGTTTCTTGCGGCTGTCACAGCCCAGATAGACATCAAACCGCTTAACAACACCTTAGGTATCTATTTTCATGAAGACGCCCCTCTTCAGATTTCCAACGACATTTGGACACTCCTTGTATATAAAGACTTAGAACTCATTAAGAAAGCACTTGACGATAACAACAATATTCTGGAACACTTATCATATCTCGTAGACAAACCCACCAATCGTATGAAAATGTTTAGTGGTGAAATTAAAACTCATACAAGTCTCCTTTATCAAATTTCTCGTTCCTTGGAATCTAAATATTACGCAATCTTCGATGACACTGTAAGCGCATCGCGGATGAAACGCGGTCGGATTAACGCTATAGGTACTGAATGGAAAGCAATAACCGGCAACCTCGATTCATCGGACGGTGAATACTATAACGATTGTATTAACAAAATTTCTAAAGATGAACATGAGCTCGAAAACCTCATGAAGAACCAAATTTCTGTTACCATGTCGGTTATCAAGAATTTTAATAACACTATTCAAAAACTTATGATTGATGAAACTACGTTTAATGAAGATATTAAAGTCATTGAAAACAAAATTTATGAAATTTCAGACGATCTTGCATTTTATGAAGCTAAATTCCAATTTTTAGAAGTTTGCGAACAATTAATGGAAAGCTACATGTTTCTGGAAGAGACAATTAATGATATTCTAAATTCAATTACTTTTGCACGTTTAAAAATAATACATCCTTCTATTATCACTCCTCAAGACTTAGTAAATTCTCTTCAAGAAATTTCTCACACTTTGTCGAGAAATAATTTACCCCTTCCGGTTAATTTAGCAACAGTGTCAGAGTACCTTAATCTTATGGAACTCGAAGCATATCAAACTAAAACAAGAGTAGTATTCGTTCTACGCATCCCGTTATTAGAGCCCGAAATGTATACTTTATACAGAGTGATTCCTCTACCCATTCTCGATAAACGTACTGGTTTGTTTCATGTAGTCTCCACTATACAGAGGTACATTGCTAAAGATAGCGATTCTCTTTTGTACGTTTCCTTTCAAAACTTAGGTAGTTGTAAAGTTCTTCAGTCTCAGGTGAAAATCTGTTTCAACCTCTTGCCGTATCCAATAGACAGTAATGCAGTCTGCGAAGCACAGTTGTTGCGAAATCCGGTCGATCTGCCGACAGCCTGCCAAATAGCAATTGTGGCATTGCAAGATTACCAAATCCAAGAACTTGCAACCAATTTTTGGCTAATCACCATATCTAGCCCTCTGCCAATTACGATGAAGTGTGGACAACGAGAGACTACCACCAAAGTGATAAAAGTTAATTCACTTTTAAAAATGCAACCCGAATGCAGTGGCTTTGTAGGCACCACGAGATTACATTCTAGATATTCTGTTAGCACCTACAAGAATATCACATACAAAAGTCACCCTGTAGAAGTACCCTACAAATGCTGTGAACATCTCCCAGAGAAACAAAATTTACCAAAATTAAAACCGATCAAGCTAAGCAAGATCGATACTGAAGAACTCGAAATTGCCAATCACAAATTAAACCAATATTCTGAACAACTGGACAAAATTATGAACGAGCCGTTTGTTTCAAGACATCTCTCATGGTTCACGTATTTCATCATCACCCTGTTAGTTATCATCGTAGCTTTGTACCTGTTCTGCAAGTGCAGAAAACGTAGACCACTCAGCATCTGCGCATCAAATTATCCAGCCGATGGTCGACGTAGACCAACCATCCAGCCACATGAAGAAGACATCGAACTGCAGTGAGTGTTCCGTGAAGTGTTTTCACTGTTCAAAAAGACATTTCCAATTTTCGTGTTATCTACCATGTGATTTTTCACGTACGACTGTACGATTGTATCTTATTATTTGTTTGTTCCAGCTTTGCTTTTAGATGTTATTTAGCATCGCCAATGTACCGCATTTATGCTAACAATTTTATTTTTCAGAATCTATATTTTCTGATGTTATTTTGCAATTTTATTACTCCTACTTTTATATTTTTATATTTTACAATGTTTACAATTTACATTTCTACATTTTTACATTTTTGAATTTTTACATCATTTACACTTTTCTAATTTTATCAAAAGTTGTCGCATGGCAACAACTTTTTGTAATAGGGGGAAGTTGTTATATGCACTCAAAACAATGGACTTACTATTCCATACAATGTTGCACCAGACGCTAGCTCAGCGACAGATAACGACTTCTCGCTAACACGTTGTTTACGCTTTATTTTCTAAAAGTGCTTTGTAAGCACACCAATAGTATAAATAGGCCTTGCGCCCATTTCATGTCGTTCATTACCCGGCTAGGCACCGTAACAGTCACTTATGTAAACTTTATGTTCAGTACCCGGTTAGACTCCGTAAATGTCACATTTGTAAACCTTTGTATTTTATATGGACTGAAGCTTCAGTCCTCAAATAAAATTTTTTAAAAAGTTATTTCTAAATCTAATGATTTAAGATATATATATATATATTTATTTATTTCGAGCATGAAGTGGCATCCGACAATTCTAAAATCCATGTTCAAGTGGCATCCGGGCATCCGTACCATTTTGCATTGTACGAGTGTTTCAGCAGGATTTAGCTAAAATTGGAAAAACAAATTATCGATGAAAACATGTAGTCTTGTGAAGAAAAATGTCCCTACAGGATAGATAAATGCCTCGTTTTAATATTAAGTCGCCTATTATTTTTAGTAGAGGCTACCCCAAGTGCACTTAACCTGATAACAGGATATCATACAGAATTCACCCTTATCCGTGACTCACGTATTATAGTGACTGGATTTCTATATATTATATTATTATTGGAATAAATGTTTGGTTCATTTAGGAGTCAGTTTCTGGGAGTAAGCTTTTCATATAAATAATACCATTCAAATCACATTGAGTTTTACATGCAGGGTTATAATTTACAAACAATTGAATTTATTTTTGTTATATTCTGGACTATTATTTCGGTATACCGTAAGATACCGATATCTGACAATGTTTACCATGCACTAGAATAGCTTGTCTGTCTAACGGTAGTGAATTTGTTTGCGACACTATGTTTTAAAATCTCTTTATCAAATAGAAACTTAAGACGTCTTGAACTGATAATAACAAATCATGTTGCACAGGTTATAGTTCACGGACTGTCATTTACCTGTCTCAAGTAGATTAGTGGCTACAATAACAAATTTTTGGATAAGATTTGGTTAAGTTGTGGAAAATTTGCAATTCAGACATTTTATTCAAATTTGAGTCGTGACTTTGAAAACATATGAAGTTGATATCAGTATATCATCCCAAAACAAAACTACTGATATTGGTTGTTCAATAGGTGATCGCTGATCTATTCAAAATAAATGAAATTGAGTATAAAATAATTTGTTTGGAGTTCTACCGAGTGATATTTAGTGCAGTCAGTGTTTTGGTTCCTAAAAGTAAATCATATATATTATAGAAGTAATTATAGGTATGTGGCATACCTTAAGTTTCTTGAATATGTTAATAGTGGACAGATATTGAAATTTAAGCCATCTAAGGAGAACTTACAATTCTCTCAGTCGTAGAAGATTCTTTATGTTGACAACCTCCGTTAATACTGAATGAAGGGAAGGGTGTAATAGAGGAAAACGTAAAACCGAAGAATCGACGATATTAAGCGGTGATCTTTTGTTCGAATTGGTATAATAGGTATAATTGGTAGGGGTTCGGAAATTGTCGTATGACGTCGACGCGGTTTTTCCGTTTTTTTTCCCGGTTCGCGAAACGCTCGGAAGGAAGGCGATACCGTTTCGGAAAGTAGAAACTCGGCGCTTTACCGGGAAGCGGGAGCCGTCGCGGTGAGAGGAACGGATCGTATCGAAAACGGCCGGTAAAGTCGAAAAAACCGGTAGATTTTCGTTCTGTCCGACGTTCTACATAGGTTTCCGCCGAAGATAAAGGAGCTGCGAACCTGGCGATTTTTGCGCGAGAAAGCCCCGGTTTCGGGCTCAAAGATAGCGGCTTTCTTTTTTTTTTTCTTTATGCCTTTTCGTTCGAAAATTTCGATTTTTTTGATTTCCTCGACTACGCGCAACTTTCCGATTTTTCCGGTTTTTTTCCGGGTTCGCGAAACGTTCGGAAGGAAAACGATACCGTTTCGGAAACTAGAAACTCGGCGCTTTACGAGGGAGCGAGACTTGTCGCGGTAGGAGGAACAAACGCGATCGAAAATGGCCGGTAAAGTTGAAAAATCGGTAGATTTTCGTGCCGTTCGACGCGCTTTTTCGATCTCCTCCGAAGATAAAGGAGCTACCTGACGCTTTTTGCGTGAGAATGTCCGGACATCGGACTCAAAGATAGCGTCTTTTTTTTCCTTTATCCCCTGTCATTCGGAAGTTTCGATTTTTTAAAAATTGCCCGACAACATGCTACTTTTCGATGTGCGAAAAAGTCACTTTGTCATCCGGCTCTGTCCTTGCCTATTACTACTGTACGTGAGCGAGTAAAAATTATACAGCTATCGAAATATAACGATAATGAGCTGAGGAAACGATTCTGACCATTAGAATTACCGTCAAATTTCGAAAAAGTAAACTTTGAGCGCCTCAAAGGAACCGATGACAGCCGTTTTTCGGCGTACTTTGTCTTCGTCGATACGGACCTGCGTTACGGAGCGACGTAGCTACGATTTTTTTTCGCAAAACGAAAGACCAAAGTCTCCTGATTAAACCGACATACGACACGTTACCCGATCGCATTTTTTAAACTCGGCAGATTAGAAAATTCAAAGATATGCAGATATTTTTAGTTTGAAGTTTCAATTTTGAATTTCCCCTCCAGATTCGCGATTCCTGTTAGGCGGGGTAATGTAGGTATGATCGTATTACGAAAGCGAGCGAGTGCAGGCGGAACGTCAAAAACGGGCCATTTTCGGCTTCATGACTATCGCTTCATCCAATATTGGATCACGCCAAATAGAATTGTCCTTTTTTACGCGTGCAAATCAACATTTTCGAATAGATTCAGAATTTCTATATTTCATAGTCTAAACAGACCGGACTATAGCCATTATTATAATGATAATCAAGTATGTCTTGGCAACGTTGTAATTTTATCAGCAAGTAAGCATTTAGGCTTTGACGTTTAGCGATTTGTTTACAAAAGTCATCATCACTTTCAATACGATAAATATGATTGTAAACCCTAATGAGTGGCATAATTTTAGATGAACGTTTATATGGATCCATCCTAAAAAGGCAACAAGTCCACAATATAGCAAAACTTTGTGCTTATAGCTGTGTGTCTTGCAAGTGTCTAGTGATGCCGCGTGTTTACAGTTTTTCGGTTCAGACGACGTACCGCAGTGTATCTATAGATAATTTAGTTCATCTTTCAAGACGTTTGAGGGCGGTTTGAAAGGTAGCCTTATTAATCGTCAGCAAATTTAAATGAGGTAAACAATTTTCATTCCTGTCTTTTACCCCCAACTATGTAGTGGAATCGGGTGTGACGTTTAGCAATTTATAGAAGTCATCATCAGCTTAAATACGACAAATATGATTGTAAGACCTAATAAGTGCCAAAGATCAATTCCTGAAGAGACCAGAAATCCACAACATAGCAAGACTTTGTGCTTATAGCATAATATAATAACAGTCTAGTGATACCGGGTGCCGAGTGTTTACAGTTTTTCGGTTCAGACGAAGTGCCTCAGTGTATATCTATCGTGATAATGTATTTCATCTTTGAAGAAGTCTGAGAGGTACCCTTATTAATCTTCAGCAGATTTAAATAAGGTAAAAAGTAAAAATAATTTTCATTCCTGTCAAATCATAAAACATTTACACTGAAGAAAGAACGTGCTATCCTTAGGCGAACACGGTTTACATATGTCAAGTGTCAAGCGCCATTTTTTTGCAAGTCGTGCGGTAGCTAGACATGCGACGTTGCCGGATCCTCACATAAATCTGAGTTTGTCATACAATTTTATAGAGGGCATTAATGCTATATCGAAGATTTTATAAATGAAAAATGGAAAATGAAAAATGAAAAACAAAAAACGAAAAACGAAAAACGAAAAACGAAAAACGAAAAACGAAAACGAAAACGAAACGAAAAACGAAAAACGAAAAACGAAACGAAAAACGAAAAACGAAAAACGAAAACGAAAAACGAAAACGAAAAACGAAAAACGAAAACGAAAAACGAAAAACGAAAAAACGAAAAACGAAAAACGAAAAACGAAAAACGAAAAACGAAAAACGAAAACGAAAAACGAAAAACGAAAAACGAAAAACGAAAAACGAAAAACGAAAAACGAAAAACGAAAAACGAAAACGAAAAACGAAAAACGAAAAACGAAAAACGAAAAACGAAAACGAAAAACGAAAACGAAAAACGAAAAACGAAAAACGAAAAACGAAAAACGAAAAACGAAAAACGAAAAACGAAAAACGAAAAACGAAAACGAAAACGAAAAACGAAAAACGAAAAACGAAAAACGAAAAACGAAAAACGAAAAACGAAAAACGAAAAACGAAAAACGAAAAACGAAAAACGAAAACGAAAAACGAAAAACGAAAAACGAAAACGAAAAACGAAAAACGAAAAACGAAAAACGAAAAACGAAAAACGAAAAACGAAAAACGAAAAACGAAAACGAAAAACGAAAAACGAAAAACGAAAAACGAAAAAACGAAAACGAAAAACGAAAACGAAAAAAACGAAAAACGAAAAACGAAAAACGAAAAACGAAAAACGAAAAACGAAAACGAAAAACGAAAAACGAAAAACGAAAAACGAAAACGAAAAACGAAAAACGAAGAACGAAGAACGAAGAACGAAGAACGAAGAACGAAGAACGAAGAACGAAGAACGAAGAACGAAGAACGAAGAACGAAGAACGAAGAATGAAAAATGAAAAATGAAAATGACAAATGATCAATGTAAAATGAAAATGGAAAATGAAAAATGAAACATGAATAAAAAATGAAAATGAAAAATGAAAAATGAAAAATGAAAAATGAAAAATGAAAAATGAAAAATGAAAAACGAAAACGAAAAACGAAAAACGAAATACGAAAAACGAAAAACGAAAAACGAAAACGAAAACGAAAACGAAAAACGAAAAACGAAAAACGAAAAACGAAAAACGAAAAACGAAAAACGAAAAACGAAAAACGAAAAACGAAAAACGAAAAACGAAAAACGAAAAACGAAAAACGAAAAACGAAAAACGAAAAACGGAAAACGGAAAACGGAAAACGAAAAACGAAAAACGAAAAGGAAAAATGAAAATGAAAAATGAAAAATGAAAAACGAAAAATGAAAACTGATAATTTATAAAAGATAACAGATACCAGATACTAGATACCAGATACCAGACACCAGATACCAGACACCAAACACCAGACATCAGACACCAGATATCAAATACCAGACACCAGACACCAGATACTAGACACCAGACACCAGATACTAGATACCAGATGCCAGACACCAGATACCAGACACCAGATACCAGACACCAGATACCAGACACCAAACACCAGATACCAGATACCAGATACCAGACACCAAACACCAAACACCAGACACCAGATACCAGATACCAGACACCAGACACCAGACACCAGATACCAGATACCAGATACCAGACGCCAGACACCAGATACCAGATACCAGATACCAGATACCAGATTCCAGATACCAGATACCAGACATCAGATACCAGATACCAGATACCAGATATATGATTCCAGATACCAGATACCAGACACCAGATACCAGATTCCAGATACCAGATACCAGACATCAGATACCAGATACCAGATATATGATTCCAGATACCAGATACCGGACACCAGACACCAGATACCAGATACGAGATACCAGATACCAGACACCAGACACCAGATACCAGACACCAGATACCAGATACCAGACACCAGACACCAGACACCAGATACCAGATACCAGACATCAGATACCAGATTCCAGACACCAGACACCAGATACCAAATACCTGATACCAGATACCAGATACCAGATACCAGACACCAGACACCAGATACGAGATACCAGATACCAGATGCCAGACACCAGACACCAGATACCAGATACCAGGCACCAGATACCAGATACCAGACACCAGATACCAGACACCAGATACCAAATACCAGATACCAGATACCAGACACCAGACACCAGATACCAGATACCAGACACCAGACACCAGATACCAGATACCAGATACCAGATTCCAGATACCAGATACCAGACATCAGATACCAGATACCAGATACCAGATATATGATTCCAGATACCAGATACCAGATACCAGACACCAGACACCAGATACCAGATACCAGATACCAGATTCCAGATACCAGGTACCAGACATCAGATACCAGATACCAGATATATGATTCCAGATACCAGATACCAGACACCAGACACCAGATACCAGATACCAGATACCAGACACCAGACACCAGATACCAGACATCAGATACCAGATTCTAGACACCAGACACCAGCTACCAAATACCTGATACCAGATACCAGATACCAGATACCAGATACGAGATACCAGATACCAGATACCAGATACCAGACACCAGATACTAGACACCAGATACCAAATACCAGATACCAGATACCAGACACCAGATACCAGACACCAGATACCAGATACCAGATTCCAGATACCAGATACCCGACATCAGATACCAGATACCAGATATATGATTCCAGATACCAGATACCAGACACCAGACACCAGATACCAGATACCAGATACCAGACACCAGATACCAGATACCAGATACCAGACACCAGATACCAGATACCAGATACCAGATACCAGACACCAGACACCAGATACCAGACATCAGATACCAGATTCTAGACACCAGACACCAGCTACCAAATACCTGATACCAGATACCAGATACGAGATACCAGATACCAGATGCCAGACACCAGACACCAGATACCAGGCACCAGATACCAGATACCAGATACCAGATACCAGATACTAGACACCAGATACCAAATACCAGATACCAGATACCAGACACTAGACACCAGATACCAGATACCAGAATTCAGATACCAGACACCAGATGCCAGACACCAGACACCGGATACCAGATACCAGATATCAGATACCAGATACCTGATACCAGATACCAGATACCAGATCAAAGATGCCAAAGGATAAAAAATGATTAGAGATAGGGATCAAGTTATCGCTAGCATTGCATTAGCATACCAGCAACTGCGCTACGTGAGGTTTTAAATAAAGACATCAACGTACAATATTTTGCATAGCGTTAGCGTGCCAGCAACTGCGCTAGTGCTGTATTATTGGTTGTGTGTTGGGATCACTCTGTATATCTAAATGTCTATATATTTTAATAGGGCTGTATGTTCTAATTAACACAACCTAATGCACACATTTCACATTGTATTTAATAATTGAGTAAGATCTGGTATGGAAAAATACAACCCTCCTAGTTTTCAATACCTTTTATTTTCTTTCATCATTGCGTTATGCGAGGAATATTTTTGAGTAAATATCTTACAATTAGTGGACGGCATAGGTTTGGCATTAAGACTTCCATGTGGAGTGCTAATCGTGTGATTATGCGTGGCATTTTTTTATCTATAATTTAGGATAATAATTTTGTTTTAATCTACTCAGCCGCCATCTTGGAATTTTTTAATGTTTTTTTATGCTTAAATATAGTAACCATGGGTCAATTCCATCATGCTGAATTTCAGGTCCCTTACATGACCCGTTCAAAAAATAGGTAGGGGGAACCTTTCTGAAAAGCGCTGTATGAAAGTAATAACTGATTTTTCAGATTAATTTGTAAAAAAAGAAGGATCAGACTGACAACCACAGGATATCCCTACATTTTAAAACACATGAAAAAAAAAACGCAAATAGTATTATGATAACTATGACTAATTGTCTCAGGGTAAAGTCTGCTTGCTATGATAAAATAACAGCTCCTTTTTCTGTCGCTTAAAGCGGGAAACTCCCTACTCCGTTTCATTATACGTTCTAAATGCGATGAAACAGACCAGAAGGTGATCTACCTGTATTAAAAGAAGCACCTGTGCTGAAGAAGTGATCGTCAATGACCAGAAGGTGTCCGAAAAAGGTCATTGACCTTCACTTGTATACCTGAAGAAGTCGACAATGACCAAATGGAGTTTTGTTCCTTGTACGCTAATCGTAGTCACCGTGTGTACTGAAGACAAAGTTCTTGTAGTTCGTTGCAACGTAATTTCTGTGCACGAGTTTAAAGTGTACTACCACGTGACCTGTGACGTAACTTTTGACGCGTATTTCAAATATTGTTCTTATAGGGAAAATATTGTCTGCGGCGTGTGTTGCGAGCCCTGTATCCATAGTATGATACTGTATCAGTTGTGCTAACTAGCCAAGCTGATGATGTGTTTCCGGATTGTGACACATTTGAAGTTCAGCTGGTATCCGCGGTACCAGCGCATTCCTGCGCATAGCCGAGTTAACATGAGAGAACAAGTTATATAATATATTTATATTAAGATTTTGCGAAGTTAGGTTATTTCACTGATTATTTTTATTTTCATTTTATTTCATGGTTTTACGTGATACCTTAATAATAATTTTAGTGAGGAGTGGATGATCCTTTGGTCTTGAAGTACCGCAGCAAGTGGCTATAACCGGCTGCGTGGTTGTGTTAAGATGTCTCCTTGAAAATTCGAGGTCTTCTAGCCATTTTATACTACAATGTGTAGGTTGGCTCTTGTTGTGGACTTCGTGTGTAGTTTTTTCCCTCTCCATCTTCGTTTCCTCAGGTTACACCCGTATCCGGATGTGTCGGCATGTGTAGTTTCATATGTGTATTCATTTCGGGTATGATGAAGCCAACCAGCAGAAATACGTACCGCTCGGGGTACCTATCCTATTTTCTGCTCGAATCCACTTTCCTCCTTTTTGCGGATTTTGCCCATTATTTTCCTACTTTTTGTTATATCCTTTTCTCCGCATGATCATTTTCTCTTTATATATATATATATATATAATATTTATATAAAGAGAGTATATAGTATATACGTATATATATATACAGGGTGGCGCATCGAAAACGAAACAGACGCATTTACTGGCAGCTTAGTTTTTTTTGGAAAAACGCTCAGACCCGTCGATTTTGTTTTCGACGGGGACACAAGTTTGGCAAAAATCAGGTTAACACGTCCAGCCCCCTGGAAGGGGGTAACACCAACCCTAAAATCTTAAATGGAAAGGGGGGTCGAGTGAAACCTTATTTTGAAGGTCTTTGAATTCCCTTTATAATGATGTAAAATACATGAGCTTCAGTTCAGTGGTTTTTAAGCTTTATTGATTTAAAGCTTAAAATATACTTTAATAGGTACATCAGATTAGTTTGTACTACTTTCAGGAGAAATTTGACTAAAAGAATTTACTTAATAAGTAAACGCTTTTCTTCACTACACCCATGGTTTGCTTATCATTTTGTCGTTGAAAATAGCTATTGGAGCGTTTTTTTGTGGCAAAAAAGTTATTTCTTGAAGTTTGCGATTGGTTTGACCAAACTTTGTTGCTAAAATAACTTGTAACGCCTTATTACATAAATTAGCCATGGTGTATTCCACAGCAGAAAGAGATGAAATTATCGAAATATTTTTCGAAAATAATCAGCGCGCAAATAGGACAGCAGAAATATTTAATGAGAGGCATGAGAACAGTAACGGGCACCGAAAATATGTTCTAGAACTTGTAGCTAAATTTCGGGAAACTGGGTCAGTCGCCATAAAAAAACGCAACATCGGAAATTCCATATGGAACGATGCGATAGAAGTGGGGGTTTTAGGGCAAGTTTATGTAGATCCTACGTTAAGTACCCGCAATTTGTGTGTGGTGTTAGTCGACGTACTGTCCAACGGATTCTAAAGGCCCATAATTTTCATCCGTATAAAACTCACCAGGTACAAGAACTTAATGAAGACGATTTTGATCGGCGATTACAATTTTGTGAAGATATGAGTGAACGAATTATAAACGATGAACATTTTCTATTCAACACTTGCTTTTCCGACGAATGTTCCTTTTTCTTAAATGGCGTAGTAAATCGTCATAAGTTCTTGTAGTTCTTTGTAACGTAATTTCTGTGGGCCAGCTTTAACTGTAGCACCACGTGACCGGTGACGTAATTTTTGGCGCATATTTCAAATATTGTTATTAAATCAAAAAGCATGTCTGTTCCTTGTCTCGAACCCGGGACCTCTGTATCGGTAGATAGACACGTTATCCGCTAAGCTAGAGAATGTGTTGATAATAAGTTTCGTGAATGTGCTAGATAAACAGCATGTACGTATGCGATAAGATGAATGTGTACCACGGGACGTCTGACGTAATTTTTGGCGCGTATTTCCAATATTGGTATTATAGAAAAAGGGTTGTCTGTAGCGTGTGCGTTTGAAACCGTAGTGCTAACTAGTCAGCTGATAATATGTTTTGAGGATTGTGATACATTTGAAGTTCAGCTGGTATCCGATAACAGCGGATTCTTGAGCAAAGCCGAGATAATAAAAACACACACTTTCATATAAAGGTTATTTAATAGCATTTATGTACGCACATTATAACAAAAAACAGAGCAATCATTCTTCCTTTAGTAATCAAACGGTGACTCTTTGATATATATATATATATATGTATCAGTGAATCATTCGCCTCCGTCTATGGTTAAGGCTAAAAGATTGAGGTCTTCTCAGTGGGCCAACACCATCACCACGACCAGAAGCACTAATAGTACGACTATTCTCTTGCATTTTCTTGTAGTTGATTGTCATATGATGGAATCTAAGTATATACGGATTCAGAATTTCTCCAACAGTTACTGCACAAGTATGAAATTATCATCTTGGATGTGATTGTGTGTGTAAGACCCGTATCGTCAGTCATTCCTACAACTGTAGCCTTTATGGACTCTTTGATTTCCATAATATCTTGCATCTTTCAATAAGCAACGTGCGTGGCTGCTTTAGATTTCTAGTCTGCTGTCAATCACCAGTCAATTGAGATGTTAGGTTATGTTCCTTTTTTTGACGTTTAAGAAATTTTAGACATAAATCGAATGCCGAAGCATATTTTCTCGCAAATAATATTGATCAGTCAATAATAATTCCTTATATTTTTTTGAGATTTAGTTCATTCTCACATACTTTAAGAGATGTTGGATAAGAAACATTGTATCGCAAGTGCAACTGCATTGTTGATGTCGGAGATGCCTGTTCACAAATCATTGCTGGACTTTGGATGGCATAGTGTCAGGCTACAAGTATGCATAATGTGTAAATGCTCTGAAATTGAGTTTAGACGTGCCATGCCTTATCTGATATTTTTTTATATCAGTGGGAACCTTAACCTAAAAATTTGAGACTCTACCTCTAAAAAATATTAGGTATTATAAGATTGCAGCCTACACCAAGCTGTAAAATTT